CAACCACCGAAGTTCCTTGCACAGATGAGGCATCCACACCATGAGGAACTTCGGCTTCAGCAGCTACTATATGTGCATGTATATGTAATACAAGAGGAACATACAACAGATACCCTCACAAAATGGTACAAGTCACGGAACTGGGCTTACAAAACCTGTCCAATAATACTGCGTGTCGCATAAGAACATTTACAATGCTTTTTTCACGACAAAAAAAAAAAAAAAAAAACAAGAATAGCTATGCATTGCCAAACGCTCCGTTTCCGCTCAAATGTTGCGCTAGTAGTCCGGAACAGATGTGTTTCAGAACTTCTCATCTTATCCGAAGGTACTGTGATTTTCGGAAAGATTCAGTGGCAAAGGCCCGTTCCTGTAAACTCATGGTGTGTATTTCCTTGTAACTGCAGAAATCTATTCCCTATGTAAAAACAATTTCAAATGTAACTTATAACGCCTGAATCAAACACCAAGCTATGAAAATATGTCAATTGGTTGAGTATGCTCGCGCTAAATTTGGGTGCAAACAGTGCGTCCGGCAATGCATAGTTTTATTTTTGCAATAAAAATATAATCTTTCTTTGGGGGAAGGGGGATTTTGTGAAAATGGCGAGTGTACAGTCAGTCGTAAAAATTGATCACGTGCCAACATCGTTTTTAACAGAACATGTGCTGTTTCTGAACATAACTTAACACTTCCCGTGCCTAGCAGCGAACAGCACTGGTACCATCATAGTGGTGTACCCCTGCATGCTAACCTCGTTGCCACGACATGTCCCGTACAAAGGAATTAAGGTACTACATGTTGAGTAATTCAGTGATACGGAACATGCTGTGGCAACAAGAGTAGCGGGGGTATGTCTCTATACACATCAGCTGTCTTTTTTTCTAACAGTGCATGTAACAATGTACATGCAGTACATGTCATGTATCAGTGTTATGTGGCATGTATCCCGTAGCTGCAAAAGGTGTGGATGCCCTTCTGCCACTCTATCAGCTGGCGGCTAACGCGGAAGACTGCTCCCACGCTTTTTACAAACATCATTGCTCGAATAATAAACAGACTAAAGCATGAAGGCGTATCAACGATGTCGTCATCAAAAAACAAAAATATATCATAAAGCACTTTACTTTTATCGCTTATCAAGCTGATAGAGTGGGCAGGACACCCCTCGAGCGGGCCGTTCCATGTTGCGCCACGTGACTAGCTAATGGTGAATTCCGCTCGCAGATCTCGAGCGCTCCAAAAGCGCTCCATTTGGAGCGCGCATATTCCGCTCGCAGATCTGGCTCAAGTTGGTCATCTTCCGCTCGTAGATCTCTGGCAGCGCCCGCTCCACGGAGCGCCCCAAACTCCGCCGAACTTGCTCTGCGGGATTTCACAGATCTCTCCGGAAATTGACAGAGCGGCCCACGTGATTTCCGTCTAAATCGGCGGTGCGCATGCGCGGCGAGGTTGGAGAGATCGGCGGGCCGGTCGGGCCACGGTCGGATCGTGGAGTTGGATCTGTTCGGGTGCGTCGGTTGTTAACTCTGGACTGTGACGACGGCTCGAACGCTTCTACCTCGCGTAGATCAGGGATAAAAAGCCGGGAATGCGGAGCGTGGCAAATCGTAAGCGCTGACATCTGTGATCACCGAGGAAGAACGAAAAAAAGAACGACAGAAAAGCCGGAGGCAGACGCAAGGTTAGGCCTATTCATTCTGCAGCCAGTGATTGTTTACCTTTTTACACTGCATTCCATCGGCGTTTTCCCGTGAAATAAAGCAAGAAGTGGTGAGGCAACGACCGCTCAAGTGATGGTTTGTTACCTCTGTGTTTATTAAGGTCGTACTAGCAATCTGAACTCCACCGCTGGCAATCGCTGTCCGTGCCCCGCCGCTTCGAGGCGGCCGAAAGGTATGTGACGGTGCCGAACGCGGACGTCTTCGCTATTTGTGACATGGGCGCCGTGGTACGTATAATTCCGCCCGGCCTGTGTCGCGTGTTACTTCTGCAGCTAAGCAGAGACAGTCGTCACTGGTCGTCGGAAAGATCAGCCGGCTGAGGCGTTGGTGGGCTGGTCAAGTTCGAGCAGCGGCCATTTTGAACGGCGGAAGGAGAAGGGGTGGGGAGGGGTGTTGGGGAGGTCGCTCCAAAAATGCAAGTTTATCTTCCCCTCGTCGATACGGAGCGGGTCCCACGGAGCGGAATTTTGCCTCCCTCGCGGATTTTGGGAAGCGCTCCAGATCTACGAGTCGTTGGTGGGCTGGTCAAGTTCGAGCAGCGGCCATTTTGAACGGCGGAAGGAGAAGGGGTGGGGAGGGGTGTTGGGGAGGTCGCTCCAAAAATGCAAGTTTATCTTCCCCTCGTCGATACGGAGCGGGTCCCACGGAGCGGAATTTTGCCTCCCTCGCGGATTTTGGAAAGCGCTCCAGATCTACGAGTGGAATTCACCATAAGTTTCCACGAATTCCACCAGTCTAGCGCTCCCCGGGAAAGCCGCACGCTCGCTCGTTATAGACAAGTGTGATTAGCACTGTACATGTGACACATGGTCCCTTTGCTAACGGCGAATCAGGCAGCGCTCTTGGGTCGCGAGCACGTGCCACGCACGGAGAATCGCGAAGTGATTCGCCGCCGACCAAAAAGGTTTCTTAGCTAAAAGACCCTCATGACCACGTGAATGAGGTATAGCCTATACCCCATCCACAGGGTCATAAGGGTCTTTTTAGCTAAGGAACCTTTTTGGTCTCGGCGGCGAGAGGGCACGTGGTGCTACAGTGTCCCAAGGATCAAGTATTCTTTCTACTGTACAAGGTTACTTGATCCTTGGGACACTATAGCACCACGTGTCCTTTTCATTGGCGGGGTTCAGGGTGCATTGCGGGACGGTATACAGGAAGGAACTTCGGAAAGGGTGTTTTGCCAGAAACATAATCAACAAAAATGTCAAAGGGGTCTATTTAGCTTTATAAGTTCCCAAAATTAGCAGCGAACATTAAGCCGTGGTCGTACATGTCTGATACGTCATAAAAAGGAAAGTCTGCAGAAACTGACTCAGGTGTTTTTTTTTTTTCCTTGCGGCTTTATTTCATTGGTCGTACAAAATATCTGTCTGCTGAGATGTTCGAAGCAGGCATATGTGTGAGAAAAACATGATTCAAAGCCGTGTTGCACAGAACGGCGTTCCTGGAACGCGTTCCTTCTAGGAAGTAGAAAGGAACGCCGGCGTTGAATCTTGCATTGGTGGAGCTGGATAGTTAACTCGTTACGTTTTTACGAGAAAAAAGGAACGGCGTTCTTTTTTTTTTCTTTTTTGTCCAGTGATGTAATTTTTTAATTTTATTTCTAAGGGAGAAACTCTAGAAAGTATGAAAACAATAACGTTACGAAGAGCAGGATCTCGTTAACTTTTTTGTTACTTATTTTAGGGCTGAATTGGTAGGGTGCACGCCTGGTAACAGCTCGGGTGCGTGCGAGCTGGTGGACATTGATTATTTTGTTTGGTGCCCGAGACTGCGGCACAAAAAGCAAAACTTTTAGTCGAAGGAAAATACACAGGACGAGGGACCTCCTAAGCTCAGCTGCTTTCTTTGTTTAAAGGAATCCTTATACACTCAGAAATGTAAGGTCGACTACAGCCATCACTGAACTTCCACAAAGAGACCTACAGTTACAATAAAAGCACGTTACCAGACATCAAACGCATCCTTGCAGCTCGAACGTTTGTCACTTAAAATATACACAAAAATTTAACCGTTGTTTCCTCTCCCCTTCTCCCCCACCTTAAGTCTGAACAACGAGTCCGACCTTCACGAAGAACGACTTGTAGCTTTCAAGACTGACCTTTTAAAAGCCCTACCCCCTTCCTTCTCCACTTGCTTGTTTTACGAACAGCAACATCGAGATGCAACTATTGTTAAGTTCGAACAACGCACCTAGATTGAAACATGTGAGGTCGCTGTAAAACTTTTGTGCAATGTAGAGTAACCCTTTAATAAAGAATATTTCCTGGCTCACAGTATATTTGACTCGTCTGAATCGCCCACCACAAACAGGAATACGGTAAAACGCTGAGATTTTTAAAAGTGAATATGTCAACACATGGAACCTTGCTTCCGGTTGTTTTCTTCTCCAGGTGTACTTCCATCACAACGTTCAAATTCTTATGTTGCCATTTAATGGGATAAAGAAAAGCAGTTTGATGTAACTGATTATGGTTATTATCACAATAGAAAAGTAACGTATGTGTAACGATACGTTACATTTTTTAACCGTAACGAGAACGAGTTCCTTTCCCACAGATGGAACATGTAGCAGGAACGCGTTGCAAAAATCAGAAGGAACGAGGAACGAGCTTTCGTTCCTCTTTTTGAGGGATTCAAAGGTGCTTGAGGCGTGCCCGCAGATAGTCCTGTCATAATGTAGCGAACACCGTCTCTTTTGTGTATTGTATGCGCAGTGTTACTGCGGCGGGCTCATACTGCTTATACGTCATACAAAAGCAGCCATCTACAAGTTACTCAAAGAAAGTAATTAAGTTAAGTTACTGAGTATTGACCTCAAACGTAATTTGAGTAGAGAAAAAATTATTCAAATGAAAAGTAATTGAGTCAATTACAAACTACCGTAAAAAGTAGCAAATTACCCTTGAAGTTACTTTCTTATTTTTTTTATGGTAACAAGAAAAGACATTGGGTTTGATCCGTTTGCGAAATTCTGATCGCCAAACATGAAACGTATTGTGTTTTCACAGATATATGCTTTAATAGCTGATTTTGCTTCTGTGTGTCTAATTGTTTTGCTTTTTTGTTGATGTATTGGGGTTGTATAATTTCGAGTTTGGGGCTTGGCACTGCCTGAGCTTAATTTTGCAGACAGTGTTTGCTTGTTTACAGTGCTGCGAAAAGTATATCTAAAAAGTAATTGATTGAAGTAAAGTACAAAGTAACTGACAGTTATGTACTTCAAGCACATAACCTTAAGTACACCCGCCGGCAATATGAAGGTGAACACCTTACCTGGTTTCTTGCCTGTTTTACGGCTCCCTAAAGCTATTTTAGCTCTCAACGTCTCGAATCGTACGTGGCTTGGGGGTCCAAACTTTGCGTTCTAGCTCTCTTCTGGAACAGAGCTTGTTCCAAAACTTGCAGGAGCGTCAAAAACAAGAAGAGGGCTGTTTACCTTCATATCGCTCACAGGTGTACACCGGGTGCAATGCACTCATAAAAATACCCTTATGTCTACTTTCCCGCACAAAACTCGGAGAGCCTATCACGGAGGCAGCTCAGCGAATGACGATACGGAAACATATGTTTAGACAAAAAAGGCGGTCTGATTTTGACATGAAGCAACGCAAAACGTGACGCTTGCACTGTTCCCCCTGCCTACGCAAATGCCCCCCACCTCCCCACCTTGAAAATATAAACTGATCGTCAAAATGTTTTTATTTTTATGTGCAGGAATGTTTGTTTATAAGCAAACCTACCACTAAAATTCGAAAGTAATTCGTAATTCGAGTAGAAGTTGGTTGGAAAAAGTAATTAAATTAAACTACTAATTACCGAAATGAAAATGTAATTGAAAGTTACTAAACTACTTAGAAAAGTGCTTAAACTACAGTAACTTGAGTAGAGCAGATGAACTGCGTACAAGTCTGTACAAAAGACATTCTGCAAACAGATTCGACCGCGAGTTACCACGAGATGCGCGCTTCGAATGCCGCATGGCAACGAGTTTCAAGACTTTGCACGGAGGAGGAGGAGGAGGAGGAAGAGGAAAGGGTACAGAGGCGGAGGAGGGGCATACCTTTTCCTCTGTACCCTCCCCTCCTCCTCCTCAAGAGCTGCACTCTAGTTTCGCATCACAGAGGTTTGTAACCGTCTTTCGTTTCTTTTAATAAAAATGTATTTATAATTTGTATTAACGTTTCTAGATTATTACGGAAAGTTGGAATACGCGCTGTATTTAAACGATTCGGAACGGCGTTATATCGCCTTATATATATAAAAAAAGAAGTGCACGCACCATGTGTCTGCTCGGAAACCTGTTACAATAATTTATTTTACATATATACTGTGCTAATCACGCTCGTCTATAACGCGCGAGCGTGCGGCATTCTCCGGCAAGCGCTAGACTAGTGGCATTCGTAAAAACGAACCTAGTCATGTGGCGCAACATGGAACGGCCCGCTCAAGGGGTGTTCTGCCCACTCGATCAGCTTGATAAGCGATAAAAGTCCCTCTCGAGGGGTGTCCTGCCCACTCTATCAGCTTGACAAGCGATAAAAGTAAAGTGCTTTATGGTGTATTTTTGTTTTTTTATGACGACAATGGTTGATACGCCTTCATGCTTTCGTCTGTTTATTGTTCGAGCAATGATGTTTGTAAAAAGCGTGCGAGCAGCCTTCCGCGTTCGCCGCCAGTTGATAGAGCGGGCAGGACACCCCTCGAGCGGGCCGTTCCATGTTGCACCACGTGACTAGCTTAGTTTCCGCGAATGCCACCAGTCTAGCGCTCCCCGGAAAAAGCCGCGCGCTCGCGCGTTATAGACAAGTGTGATTAACACTGTACATATGTACGTATGTATTTATTGTGTAATCGTTTCTCCCGCCGTGTGAAAGTTTTATTTTTGAGTGTATGGTACCTTAGAGTATTATTCTTCATGCACTGACTTTATAGTTGGAAATAATATATCGCTTATTATATACTTATATAGGAAAACAGTATCTATTATTGAGACCCTAGTTTTGGAAAAAAAAAAATGGTCGAAAACTTTTTTTATGTTGTATAAGGGGCAAATTAGTATTAACACCAACAAAACAAAACTAATGAATGTATCAACGACTAAAACCACAATGTGCTGCTATTACACACACACACACAAAGAAAGATTAAAAAAAAACGGAGCCCCCCTTGAAAAAGTCAAACAAATACATATCTGGGAGTTTTTTTTTTTTTGATAACCTAAGCTGGCATGAGCCTATTGAATACATTTTAATTAGGAAAAGTCGGGTATTAGGGTTCAGTATACGAAAATTGTGTTTAGAATCTACCGAAACTTGTCTCCTAGCTTTCAAATCATTCGTCAAGTGTGCTGGTATTTATTTGAATTATAAAATAGAAAACGTTCAAAACGAGGGTGCACTTTTTATATTTAAAGACTATTCAGAATCTACGAACCTAAAACATAGAGAGAATTTGCCTTCATTCGACTCCAGAAGTAAGGTTTCTCGTTTCGCGTTCATTCACAGCATTTAATATTACTGAATTACAGAACATGCACCATACTTCCTTAGTATGGGACATGTTATGGCAACATTACTTGATTCGAAGTAGCCGGGACCAGGATATGGGACCACACTCTTCAACTCATCAAATAAACATTGAATTAAATTGAATGGACACAACATAAAATCAGTTTATGTACGTTTGTTAAATTTGTATGAAAGAAACAACAAATAAACAGGTCTCTATATGGGAGGAATTAATTCCGGGTGGCTGTTCCACACGGAGAATGTGGGAGAAGGAATAGTTGGATAATGCGAGGAATTTTTTAATATCGCTCTGACTTTAATATCACTCTGCCATACTCTGACTTTGGAACGAAAAGGTTCAATGGTACACACGGGCTATAGTTACATTGTACAGCTAGAATGGTGTAATTTTGAAATTATGATAACATATAACGAGAGATTTTGCGCAGCTTCTTTTCGGGTTTTAAATTAAATATTCTTGCGAGAGGCAAATGCAGACTCAAGTTCGGGGAGGTATAAGTACCAGCCATTAACATGCTATCTTCGTGCAGCTGGAGAGTTAACATTTTAGTGTATTTAACGTCTCCAATCGCCCTTGACTTGTCAATAGTTACAAGATCTACGCGATACAAAAACGTAGCTTGAACAGTGGATGGACTCCGAGGTGCTTGTACAAGAAGCACCCGTTTACAAGGATACTGATAATATAATACGAAAAGCTTCATATATAGAGTTTTTTTGGTAAGCGACAGTGCTTACTTGTAACAATTATTTAAAGAAAAACAAAAAAAAAATCTTAAAAAAAGCACAAAAAAAAAAACAAGTTAGAGGTGAATTTTAGAACATTTTTATCCCGTAAATCTGCATGTCACGTTCGTTTACCCCGAGCACGTAGCTAAACGCAAGAAAACACGAAAAAGCTCCGACCAGTCGCTACGTCATTTCCAAATCTTTCGGCCGCCAAGCGCTTGTCGTTCGTGTGAGCAGCGTGTGCAATTGCAAGCTTGCCAGGTATATTTACCCGTACAGACACCAGTCGGGACATATTTTTCTGCCCTTTTTGAAAATAGAAAGAGCGAGTGCTTAGCTTTGATAAGCGCTGAAGGTGCGCGAGAGCGGAGATTCCGGAAACTCTGGACATGACGTCACGCTCCGGGAAAGAGCGGCGGCAGCGGCACTTTGGAAATAATTTTCTGGAGTGTCCGTGCACCAAATTGAAAAAAAAAAAGCTCAATATTTGTGAACCTGGAAGCCAAATGAAGACGATTGAAATGGTTTTCCTCAAATACAGTACCGCTTCAGTTTGCATTTAACAGCATCAGTTACGTTTTTGCACCCGGTAGTTACAAATATTATCTAATGCAATATACGCTTTTGACACATTCTTCAAGAAAGCTTTAGTGAGGGAAGAATTATTGAGCGGTAGGCCAATTATCCCAGATTACAGTATAGATGTTAGAGATCGATCTCCAACGTTTTCGGGAAGTTTAACCATCAATTACACGCCATTACAAAAAAAAAAAAAAAAAAAAAAAATTCTATTCCTTACACACAGACAAAAACACACACTCAAAAAAAGAAAAAAAGAAATGACTGCAGCGAGGCGCGCATGCCTATTTGCACATTCTCATAGAAATATTGTCCCCGTCACAACGGTACCTCAATCTAAATGCTTAAAAAAAAAACAAAAAAAAAAAAAACCTGCGTACCCTATACGATCTAATATATTTGTACGGAATGAGGTCGCTCTTCACACTCGGGGTTATCGGCTTCCGTTTGAATTGTATTAGACAAGCTAATCGGTAAATATAATACACTTTTAAAACCTAATTGTCACTTATTAATTACTGGATGTATTAAAAAGCCTCTGACGCGCCAAAAAAAAAAATTTTATGCTAGGAGTTGAAATGGCATGTCAGGACATTATAAAAAAATTGTTTCACTATAAAGGTGCGGAGTTTTTTTTTATAAAAAATATAAATAGGAGGCCCAATTCAAAGTTCCCGCCAGTGCACTGTGACGTAACAGCAATAGTCGGGGCGGTCAGAAGGGAGGCATCGACATACGTCACTAAAAGTGGGTTCGCAGGAAGTCACGTGAGTTTCACTCCTCGTGCTCTCCGCGACCGTGCCTACAACTTTTTTTTTTATTTTCTGCTCTTTGTACGAGCGATCGTAGAAAACGAAGTTTCAGTTCCACTAGCTCTTTATCGCTGTGCCGTTGGTTAGTTTGCGTGCTGTAAAAGTTGAGGACGAAGAGTCAGTAAATTGGGTTGTGTGTGTGTTTATACAGCCTAGAACTTGGTCTGCCTCACAGGGGCGACGAGTCTCCCAGCTGTAGATGAGCAATTTAGCCAGTGCGGTACAGCCGCTAGCCTGGGGTCTTTAACGTGCATCACGCAGTAGTGATACACGACCGCACGCCGGTACGATGCTCATCCAGATCGAAACGGGCAGGGGTGGGGCTCGAACCCAGGATCCCTGGGTTCTGCAGCGCGAGCTTTCGCTCCACGTGCTCCGAGCTGGTGTGCGCTAGCCCACTCGGCCCCCGATCCCCGAAGAGTCAGTAAGGTCAATGATGAAAGCGTTGCGAGCCAGTGTACGAGTGCATGCCGTCAGTCCGATGATACAGGGCTATACTGAGGACAAAAGGAGCTATCAAGTTTGGCAAAAAAAAAATTTAGAACGCTCGCAGAAATTAGGATTACTTGCGTACGACACGCCCAATTGCATTGCTGAAGGTTCGGACAACAAGGTCGTCGAATCTTCGTATACTCTCCAGGCTGAAGATGCCTGCCGTCTCTCGGAAACGCATGCAGTGTGATCTCTTCTTCAGTTGCTGAAATACCGGGACAGTGCCTCACACAGCACCTTCTAGGCATTGTAGTTGATCATGTCAATTCACTGACTCCTCTTCTTCTACCTTTACAGCAACATTAAGCGATGAAAAGCCGATAAAGGAAACCTTGTCTGCTTGGATCGCTCGTGGAGGTGCGGAGAACAACAAAAATATTAAAAAAAATATTACACGCGCTCGCGGTAAGCACGAGGAGGGATACAAGTCACGTGACTTCCGGCGATACCTCCCTTCTGACCGCCCCGACACCTTGCGGTACACTATTACGTCACAGCGCACTGGCGGGAACTTTGAATTGGGCCTCTTATTTCTATTTTTTATAAAACAAACTACGCACCTCTATAGTGAAACAATTTTTTTTTGTAATGTCCTGACATGCCATTTCAACGCCTAGCATGAAAAAAAAAATATCTTTTTTTGGCGTGTCAGAGGCCCTTTAAGTTAGTACGCCTAAACTTATACCCGTGCCACACGGGCAACTCGAATGCCATTTACAACGAATGGCATTTATGTGATCGGCGAATCAGCTCGCAATCTGTCGCGCGTGGAATGCGCGACGCCCGGAGTGTCGCGCGCTCATTGGCCGCCCGCTCAAGTGTCATTCGTTGTAAATTGCATACGAGTTGCCCGTGTGGCACGGGTATTAATGCATATTAGTATATCCAAATGCTTCAAACTAATATCCGTCAAGTGAGACTAACTAGACGAATATTCGCAGCTGCAGCTGCGGGTGGCGAGTTACATACCAACTCCTTTGCTTACGAACAGCCGCGTCTGCACGTGAGGGCCGTGATGTGCTGTGCAATGCACATAAACATAACATAAAAAAGAAAAAAAAAATTTGCGCATGCTTGAAAGCCAGCGCTACCTGCCTCCCGCGACATCAGGAACTAGGGTAGATGTGTTTGTGGTTTTCACATTTTCTGAATCTGTCAAAGACAGGGATAACAACATTATCTCAATTTTAAGACTCACCTGAGAGCCACCGGCTGGTTGCAGGTCGGAGCAGCGCATATAGCTGGGGATCGCTACCTCCGCCTCTTTGCTACACTCATCTTGCGAGATGTAGCTAACTTGCGTTTCCAAGAGGTCGTCTTGTATTGTTGGGATCAATCCGAAGTTTCCTGACGACTGCGTCCTGTTATCTCCCGTTTCGTCTTCGTCACTTTCAAGCTCTTCGTGAGATCTATTACGGTCGTTAATTTCCATGCTAAATGTCGAGACCTCGAATTCATCGGCTTCACTTTCAGTTTTGTTGTCTGCTTCCTCGTCAGTATAATCATCGTAAATATCACTGATGTTCTCAATATCTGAAATAAAAAATCTGCAGCTTGAGGTCTGTTATGCGGTAAAGACATGTGTCCCGAACAATGACCAAGGCATGTAGCAGTATCTTTACAGTCGAGATTGCCGAAACGATATTCGTATACTCAAACATCATGAAACATATATAGATAAACATGTAAAAAAAAACTTCGTGTGGATGTTGCCTTCTATTGTATGAAACAAAATAAACTCAAGGAACTTAATAAAATACTGCAACTTCTTTTTCGATCGATCCGGTAGCCATTAACGTTTATTTAGCAGGTCGGTTTCTTTATGTTTCAATGTAGCATAAACCTATTACTTCGAGCGTGTTGTTAATCGTGTAGTGATAACCTGAAGCGATACACCACAATAATAGGACAGTCCAATTGGAGGGTAATTGAGAAGGTCTGTATGAGTGAAAGGAACTTTGTAATTGTCAAACGAGTGTAAGAAAAATGCCCACGCCAAAACGTGGTCATGTTACTTTCTGCTAGGTTTCTCAGAACTTAAAGTATATTCTTCATCTTTGTCGCGTAGATCACTATATGAATTAACTTTTGCACGTAACGGGTTCTGTGTTGCACTCTTAGGTATTACTTACTATTAGTACCCTATTAATGTTTAATGCTTTTTTTTCTGCTTGTGAACCTAAAGTAACCGTCAACTCAAAAGGGAAAATTATACGAATTGAGATGTCTTTTTTAATCTGGACTTTTGAATCATGATGTAACTACAGCACGAACAAGTGCAAAGATCGGGCCATCTAGTTATGGTACCTGTTATTGTTACACAGGCAAAATAAAGTAATACTATCCGTTACCCAAAAGAAACAAAAATAAAATGATATATATATATATATCATTTGATTTTTGTTTATTTTGGCAGATTTACAAGTTGCAGAATGTTTCACATGTTTACTAGAAGATGGCGCTACGTGCCAAACATAATCATTATCATCATCGTTTACATGATTGCGCTACTTTAAAGAATCGCTAAAATAGGGAAAAATACAAAAATGTGATATATATATATATATATATATATTATTATTATTATTATTACTTGATTATGATCTGAGCTGCCAGTTACTTGAGATTTGAAGCGACGAGAAAAGTCAGAATCATGAACATTATGAATAATCACATTTTTGTATTTTTTTCCCACAAAGGCTAGAAATCAGAACAGTTTTATCTTACTCATGCCCCATCCTGCTATGTAGAGGGTTGCGTTGGGAGGTGCGTCCTGACAATTTTCGGGAAGACAAATAGGCTGGGTAAGTTCGTTGAATTTCACTGTTTTCTTCAGCCTCAAAATAGTGAGATCTACCTGGAATCGGTACGCGTGTTTTCTGTAGTTTTGATTGCTCAATTATTCTTCGCGCGTATTTCTTTTATTTCTTCTCTACGTACCGGCAAAACGGAGCAGTTACCCAGTGCACGTGGGGCGCATATGTGTTCCACGTTTCCGCACTCCATTTCGGCCTCGCTTGTTACACCGGATGAATTCTGCTGGGAACTGGTGTTAACCTCTTCTTCGTAATAGTCGGTCTTGCACCTCTTTGTTGTTCCGTAGCAAACTGTTAGGTCCGTGATGTTAACGTGCCTTAAAACCAAACATAAAAAAAAAACAATTCGAAACAGAAAGAAATAATAAAAAAAAGGTAGCACTCATTCTAACTTTCAACAATATTGTATATTAGTTTTTTGTTATATAAGTGTGTTGACTGCCTTGGGGTCTCCGAGGCAAAACGACGGCCAACGGATCCCAAATTGGCAGGTACCCGGACAGAGTGCCCACAATCTAACGGAGGTTTTTTATTCCGGAAAAGGAATCGTGTAACCAAGCTTTTGGGGGCCCTTGGAAATATCCCCAGGTGGTCGACATTAATCCTCAGTTCTCCGCTTGGGTGTGCCAGGTGTCCTTGGTTGGTTTGGCGCATAAAGCCTCCAAATCGAAGTTTTAGTCTAACGTACAGTGCTCAGCGAAACAAAATGCACACCGGCGGTGCACCTGACCTGGCTAGCACAACTTCATATACTGCGCTTGAAGGATCATTTACTAGAATTACTTCAGAATATACAGCTAGCATTAACAATTATTCTACACTCTAAAAAAGTCGTTATTGAAAGGTTCTTCTCCACCCCAATTACACTTCGAGCTCGTGAAGAACGGTTTCGCCTCAAGCACTATTGCCCTTTGGTGCTCTAGAAAGATAACGGGGCTTTGAAGTACTTACGACCAGATTTTGTTTTATAGTGTAGCCTAGAGTAATATATAGCCCTCCTATTTGGTTACTGGCATCGCTGGAGTCACAACTAGTCGATCCGTGAGGCCACGCGCTCAGCTGGTCCATTTCGCTTCGTTGAGCACTGTATCGTCTGTTTGAACTGTTTAGACACTTTTTTATTAGAAAATTTTAGGAAGTCGTTTCCACACAAATGGTTCGTCCTCAAACGCATCGCCGACGCCATTGCGCATGCGCGGGCGAGTTATTCGGGGCGTGGGGGAAAAAAAAAAGATGGCGGTCGGTTCGGCGACTGATTCCGCCGACCAAGCCGAACGTTAGGTTTTGTGACAGCGGGAGGCGATTTGCCATCCTGTTACTCTGCTTCATTTGAGAGGTTGAAACAAATAATTTTGAGGACTGTTCACAATGGTAAGCGATAGTAAATGCTGCAATCTGCGCATGCTAGTAAATTGTTACGATCTGCGGGCAGTCTAGCTGTTTTGGCGACCGCGAGCAGACGAAATGATATGGTTCGACGGCACACAACGTGAACGATCGTTCAAGTTCAAAATGACGGAGACACACCACATACCTTTACGGTCGTTCAGACACTTTTTACTCTATCTAGCTTCGCAGTTGTTGAAATTCTGACCCGCTAAAGTTACGTCGGCCGTCTTGTTTACATTAGTCGCACGCCGGAAACACGAGGCGCGACAGATTTACAAGTTGCAGAAAGTTTCACATGTTTACTAGAAGATGGCGCTACGTGCCAAACATAATCATTATCATCATCGTTTACATGATTGCGCTAGTTTAAAGATTCGCTAAAATGCGTAAAATTTCACCCACTGTTTCATGGAACAGACCAGCTGCACCGTTTGCGATTTCGGAACCGTGCGATCGAAAAACCACTTGTTAAAACTCCCTAACGTCTCTCATTGTTCCGCGGAGAGGATCAGCTCACTTTTGCCTAAAATAAGAGTGAGATTAATTTATATATTTTAAGCATATGCATTAGTAGTTACCAGTCTTGTACACGTTACTAAAAAAAAGTAATCGATTACAATTACTATTACTCTTGGCTAAAAAGTATTCGAATAGATTACTTGATTACTCGACGGCAAAAGTAATTGGACATTACTTAAAGAAGTAATTGTTACTTTTCTGATTACTTTATTGTGTGAATACACATCTTTAGCGCTCATAACAATGAACTACTTCCAACCTGCATTTCACATTTGCACAAGTATTGAAGAAGAAAAACTGGCTGCCTCTTCGTGGTCGTTGCACCTTCACTCCGGACACAAGCCTAAATTTTGTTTGTAGACGTTTAATGATTTGGGCGTTCGCCACTGTGTGTGTGTGCGGGGGGGGGGGGGGGGGGGAGCGGAGGGGGTTCTAGATCTTGTTAAGCTTAAGCAAGGGTTGTCGCTCAAAGTTTGCGTCGCTCATTTTATTATTCACATGTGGATGAGCTCGCATGTTATACAAAAGAGCAGCAGCTCCAGGATTTGAAACGGATCATGTGTAGTATCTATTAGCGGAAGAGATCGCACCGACCACTTCTCAACTCGAAACATTGCTTGTCACAAAGACCACGTAGGGGAAATGGGGAAATATTTCAACTGCCTTTGTTATATTTTGCATCCGCTTTAGGCATTCTTCGGTTCTGGTTCTCCTACGGGCTGCGGGTAGGTACCCTAAGCAGGATTTTTAAAATTTTTTTTTATTTCTGTGTGTGTGTGCGTGAGGGGGCTAGTTTGAACGAAGGAGTCACAAAGCTACATTCTGCTTCCTCAAACTTTGCTCTGAATGGCCTTTGTCACGCACTGTGCTTCCCTGGGGCTTCCCACTCCCAGTCCCAGCCCGAAAAAAAAAAAAAACGGACATTCCACAGAAGTTGTACATAAAAGGAGATTGACCTCCCTTCCTACAGCTCCGCAAAAATCTTTTTTTTTTTTCTGTTTAAAAAAAATAATTATTTTTGTCATTTCATAAAAAAATAAAAATAAAGGCGCGCGTGCCCGGGAGGGGGGGGGGGGGGGGGGGGGGCTGGTCCCGTGGAGAAATTGTAACGGTTACAAGTAATTTTTATTGCTTCAAAAAGTAATAAGATTACTCTTGTGATTACTGCCTAATAAAAGTAATCAACTGATTACAAAATTACTCCAAAAAGTAATCGATTGCAAGTAATTTGATTACTTGTAATGCGTACGGTACAAGTCTGGTAATTACTAATATTTCACAAACAGGGACGGTGACACTACCAGTGTGGATGTAGCATAAGGGCGCCTGGGAGCCGAGGCAACATCATTAGACCTCACGTTCAAGAGTAGCCCCATGGAACGCTCTAGTAACGAGATCGTTCAATAAAATATCCCTACATTTCAAGAAAAAACAAAAACAAAAAACAACAAGATATTGAAACGTAGAAAACAAAACAATGTTAAAACGTAAAAAAGAAAAACCAAAATGCTCGTTAGCTTCTTTATAGGTCGCCCTAAAATACCTGGCATTAGGACTATTGCAGCGGTCGTGGTTCTTTCGAAAGTTACACGACTTGGTTCATGATAATAATAATCATAAAAAAAGTAGCCTAAAGGTTATTAGAGTTGCTGGGCGACATGTCTTTAGCAGTCGAAAAGATCGTCTGCTAAAGACGCCGGCTCTCGCCGCCGTATGCTCGTTCGTTGGCGGCAGTTGGCGTCGCGACCGCTTGCACCATCTCTTGTCTCCCGTGCGAAACGGCGCCGTATTGTTTGAAGACCGATGGCTTCGCTGCGTTTTCATAGGAGTTAAGCCTTTTTTGTTGTTTATTTTTTCCTAGAGTGAGTTCGCCCTTTGCAAACTTAAAAAAAGTAAAAATAAATGCACCATCTGTGGGCAGAGCTGCAGAAAATCGTAGCGCGGTAGGTTAAGAAACAGAATTTTCCGGTCGCTTTAAAGAGCCTGGCCGCTATTTGCGACACACGGTATATGCAGAGTTCTCGTATAATACACAGGTGACTTTAGATAGGTTTTAAACCATAAAATAATTTTTAACGATATCCCCAATCCTAAAATTTTGTCTCTCCGTCCGTCCGTCCGTTTGTCCGTCCTGCTTTGCATTATCCGCTAAATTTAGCGGGGAAAGATGCGTCACGTGACGTCGGGGGAAGTTACGTGACGCCTCTTTTCCCGCTAAATTTAGATAGGGAAATCGATGTCACGTGACCTGGTGTCACGTGACCTATACAGCCATTCAGTTTCCCGCTAATTTAGTCGAAAAATATGTCACGTGACATACCAATTTCCGCACCGATTCCTAGAACTTTGAAGGTAAAAATCGCTTCCAATATTTTTTCTTTTTAAGAGATATGTATGAACAATTGCTTGCAAGGCGCCCCGTCTAGTGCCCCATGCGTGTAAGCGTGTGCAGCTTGCTCTTGAACATCCTTGGCAAGCTTGCATTTGCAAGGGCTTCTCCGCACGAGCAAAGACGTGGCGGCGGCTAGTCGCCTTGCTTACAATCGTCTATAGCACCAGAAGCCCCTGGCAGTATATCGCATTGTGATCTATTCAAAACACCAATATACCTTTTTGTTTTGTTTTTTTGTTTTCAAAAGTCCGCGCCCTCGTCTGTCTGGCATTGCTTGATCACGTACTCTGAGCAAGTATTGTACACCAGGGCTGTGTCAGCGTTCGGCCTGAACTCGGGTAGGTTCACACTTGTTTATTTATTTATTCTATTACCCACAGCACCGGATGGCAATGCAATGGGGGGGGGGGGGGGTGTTAATTGGGGTGTTTTTTTTTTTAGCTGCACCAAATGTTTAAGTAAAGGGGGAAAACTTACATGAATGAAATTTTCATAGCTTGTTTATATGGCTCAGCGGATAATATATGAGAATAGAACTATAACTATTATCAGAGTGACTAACTAAAATTCATTAATGAACTTTCTAATTACTTTAATTAGAGTATATGTTTATATTACAAACCTTGAGGCGGTCGTATGCCAAGGCTGTTCTATTTTATCCGAATTCGCGTAACCAGTCCGTGTTCCGAGATATCTGTTCCCGAATTTTCGACTTAACTCAAATTTTTCTCCAGTCAATCCGGCCAATTGGCGCTATAACCGAACTTTGCTACATTAGCCGGATAAAAGTGCGAAATTCGGAGACGAAAATCGGCGAACAGGGGCTGATTACGCGGATTCTACAAAATTGAAGTTTTGGCATACCACCGCCTCAAAGTTTGTAATATCAAATATATCCTGAAAACAGTAATTAAACGTTAAATAATAAATGTGAGTTAATTAGCTTGATAATAGTGTATGACCTGGCGAACTTATGTCCACCAGGTCATACAAACAAAGAATAAAAACAACATTTATATAACTTTTTCATCCTTAATTGAAACATCTGGCGTAGCTAAAAAAAAACAAAACACATTGCCTACATTAATTATGTACACAAGCGCTATATTAGAACATCTCAGGAAGCGCATACACTCTAAAAAAAGCCCGTGCGTCTACTTTCCCGTCCAACACTCGGTGAGCCAATCAGCGCAACTTACGGAGGCAGCTCAGCGAATGACGATGCGGAAACATATGTTTAGACCAAAAACCGCAGTCGGAGTTGTGACATTAAGCAATGCAAAACGTCACGCTTGCATTGCTTAATGTCACAACTCAGACTGCGGTTTTTGGTCTAAACATATGTTTCGGCCAGAAAACTCAGTCTGAGTTGTGACATAAAGCAATGCGAGCGTGACGTTTTGCATTGCTTAATGTCACAACTCAGACTGCGGTCTTCGGTCTAAACATATGTTTCCGCATCGTCATTCGCTGAGCTGCCTCCGTAAGTTGCGCTGATTGGCTCTCCGAGTGTTGTGCGTGAAAGTAGAGGCACATACATTTTTTAGAGTGTACACTAAGAAATAACATAATAATGGCACTTGGAAGCCAGAAAATAGATTTTGTGTCGAAGCAATGGCGACCGGCGATGTTGCGTGATGTAAGTTTGAATAAAGGTCTGTTATTGGTTCGCCTTAATTTCGATAAAACAATTAAGAGGGCGACTGGTATCACACCCTTTGTCCCCGCGGTCTCCGCGGCAAAAGGGATAGGCGTCTTTTTTCTTCCAATTACACATCATGATATTTCGGGTGCGATATCGCTTGACCTATTGCTAGCTGAGGTTGGCCCAAGAAAAAGAAATCATGAGATTTCGGAGTACCGTATATTTTCTGGATCCTAGTACGCAACCGGTGCATAGTTCGCACCTAAAAGAATCTCATACATTTCACACTTTTACAAATTCCCGCTTTACTTTTTGTATTTGTATATTTATTTGGTCGAGGACCACCGGGATGTTGGAGGAAGGCCAGTGGCTGATGCCGAGGTAGCCCACGGCGCTTCGTAATAGTTGGGTGAAGATGTGGTAAATATACACATATGACCAAACGGTGATAACCGAGGTTCGCGATTGAAAATGCTTAGCTAACAAAGGTTAGCTCACAAAGAAATTTGAATTATACATCAATTATTATTAACGTACTATGTTATTCACAAAGTTCCTTACGTCTCATCATAATGGACGATCTAGAAAAAAATAAGTCCTTTCTAGCACACACCGCATAATATTTCAGCTTTTAAACATGTCTAGTCGGAGGACTGCATTTTGAAAACTGCACCGGGGGCCAGAATACAAGCACAAGCTTCTAAGAGTTCGCTGAAATTAGGGACAACAGTTAGTGTAGTTGGATGGAGGTAAGATGGGGGTCAGTGTGTACCAGACACAGTGTGCTGCCGTCAATACGAGCTGGTCGCTGATGAGCGTTCCCCCGCATACGAAGTCTCCTTTCGCGTACAGGCTGACCATCCATGGCCAGTTTCCAGGGTCCGCTGGTGTGCCGTTCAATATTCTCTCCGTAACACTGACGGGCAGTTGACGCCGACCGCACTCATGAGGGGCTTTGCCTTCGGAAACATGGACTGGTGACCCTGAAAATGAGCATAAATATCCCAAGGTCCTCCAGCTTGTACAAACGTAAATCTTGTTGCAATGCCATTTTCTTCCCGGTTTTAAGAGTAACAATCATGCTACGCCTTTACGCAAAAAACAACGACAAAAACGTTTAGATTAAACTGTTGAAAAAAAGGGGGAGAGGGTAGTATCGCTGTTACCCCTCCACATCTATTTAGCGGGCCTAACTTTACGTAGTGAGAGTTATTTAGTCGATTTCAACATCGAAATGCTTGCCAATATTGTTTCAAAAAGAGAACTGACAAATTTGTTATGGCACATGGTTGTTTTTCGTTATCAAATTGCTCACCAGGTTAAATTTATTTCCGGAACCTCGATTGATGTTTATTACCAATTACAAGTTACGGCGAAAGCCGTGAAATATCGGTAGTGCTAAGTTATGACCTTGTTTTTATGTGCGTTAAGATTAACTACTCAATTACTCAATTTCTAAGTGAGAGATAAAAAAAAGGAAATAAACTGTTCCTCTCGACCTGCACCACTTGACGGTATAACAGGTTTGATCCAATATAATATAAAAAATGAGGGCCGTAATTGACCGAACGTTTCTTTAGTCCTTAAAGTCAATTAAAAAGAAAAACAGGTAGACAGCTGAACATTGGCATTGGAACGAACTTGGAGAATCTTGCGAGCAATTGTGAGTATTTGTGTTTCGTTTTTTTTTCCTTTGGTGTTAAGTTATTAATTGTTGTTCCGCTTGGTCCTGCCTCTTGTCTTCTGTGTTCTTGACTACTAAAAAAACTACTAAAAAAAAAAAGACAGCGTTAGCATCCTTTGTGCCAGCTCATTGTATTATGCCGGGCGGTTTGGAGACGTTTGAACAAAATATTGGCCAACGCAAGTTGGGACGATATTTTCAAAAAGAAAGATCCAGATAAAGCGTACAATTCATTTTAAAACAATTTAAGAGTTCTTAGATGAATAATTTTCTCTGCTAATTAATTAATTAATGTTAAGAAACCTACTCAAAAGGCTTGAATAAAAATAATCAAACAAACAAAGTTTGCTGTTTTTCAGACGATTATGGCAGTATTACGTTCCCTCTCCATAAAAAAAATAAAAAAAAAATTGACGACTTTTTTTTTTTATCTGGTTCCATCATCTACAAAAACATACACAGTTTGTAATAGCTGTGTTCGCAATCTCAGCGAAATTCCGCGTTCTCATTGGTCACATGCCCTCCTAGCTGCTGCCCTCCTGTTTTCTATCGCAGGAGATAATTTCTATCTTTGATTCCTTTTTGAAAGTGGAAATCGGCCGCGCGTTGTAATAATTTATGGATTTCTAGGATGCTTAGAGCCCGCAGTGTGGGTTATCGCCATATTTAGGCGATCTCAGGAACCTCCTCAGGGCACCTGTAAATCACGAAAAGACAGTACCTTCTACGATCGACAGTCTCTTCCAACACATGGCGTACTAAAATTCAAATATAGTTCACGGAGGAAGACGAGGCATGGGAAGTAAGACGTGCTGACGTCGAGCTCGGTTACCCGTTGTTTTTCACCGGAAATGAATGAATCGCCGGAAATAATTTTGGCCAACTTGAAGTGCCGAACACACGGGATCATCGGAGCCCGACAGTTGGGTAAAAGCGGCAAGACCGGAGTCATCAGGTTCAGGTTAGAGGGCAACAGGATTCCATACCAAATCACGTGTTTCCACAAGGTTTGCAAAGTTGCCACATACCGACCCAGGGCGGTCGTCTGTTACATGCGTCACCGAATAGGACACAAAATGGATGTGTGCCCTGATGACTCACAATGATGCGGGCGCCGTAGATGCCCTCACAAGGAAGTAACGTCCGATTGCCAGAACCAGACCCCAAAGTGCCGAAATTGTAGGGATGAAGACGTGGCTACCGATTGCACGTGTTCCAAGAGAGTTAAGGCTACACAAAAAGCGCGGCGGCAACTCAAGCACAAGAACACGAGGCTTAACAAGGTTCCCAGGTCTCAGCCCTGGAACCGGGCAGCCAGCAAGAAACAACACGACCCAACGAAGAATGTCGGGCCTCCGTTCGAAAGAAAAAAAGTTGCCACCCTCCTACTGAGTGCGGGGGACTTTCCCGCACTCGTATTCTGAACTTCCCGATTCGGAGAGGGCGCCCATCCTCGGCTCAGTAGATTCCAAGCACAACAAAGCGGCATGGGGCCAGACATATGCCAACAATTAAGGATAGCACCTCGGCACGGCGAGGAGGGCCCCCAAAGGATAGTCCCCCCCCCCCCCCCCCCCCTTTCCAGAGGAGACCAGGAGTCAGTGCTCCCTCGATGACCTCACGATCGCCTTCGAAAGGCTTCTGGGAGAGATGGCCGCACTCCGAGATCAACAGCCGATAATGCAGCAGAGAGCACATACACAACAGCAGATAATTCAGCAGCAAGCACTGTTAATACGCTTATCGGAATCAACTCACTCCATCAGGGGAAACCTTAGACGAAAGCAAATGGCATTCGCCCGCCGTGACAGCGACGGCGACAGTTACCCGAGAAAGAACCAACACCCCCGGCGCAGTGTAGCAAAAGGGGAAGGCGCAGGCGAGGTGGCGGAGGGAAGTTCATGTAGGTTCTGCAATAGAACTGCAGGGGCTTCACCGGCCGCCTCATCGAAATTCGACTCCGTCTCGAGAAGGCAAGACACCGAAGTGCAGACCCCTCGCTCTCCTCCTCCAAGAGACGGATAATGACGTCATGAAACTGCAAGAATATTACACGTACACTGCACCTACGATAGCCAGAACCCGGAAAGGGGTCCGCAGAAATGGAAAACCTCCAATTCAAGATATCAAGGGTCACGGGACAATCTTCGTGGATAAAGACGTTCCTCACGCACAACTGGACACCGACCCTTTTTACAATTCGGACAGGGAGGTAGTAGTGGCCACGGCGAGTGTTGGGAAGACGAAGAATAATCTTGTATCAGTGCACTTTAAACCCTGGTTTAAGCAGTGCAAAAAAGCGGACTGACTCCGGGACCTTTGCTCAGCGATCCCCTTGGATGAACATATTGATATAGGGGGACACTTTAACTCCGCCCACACTATGTGCGGTAGGGTTACCCTCCGGATGCTTCTAGGTGAATAAACCTTGCGCGAGCCGCGTCAGAAGCCAAGCTCAAGCTTGTGAACGAGTATGACGTTTGCACCAGGATTGCAACGCGCAACAAGCAACATGGCACTCCCTGGATCTCTAGTGGGCCTCATCGAAGCTCCATGTAACCTGGAAGGTGCTACCAAAGCTCCACGGGTAGCTATCACCAACCCATTAAAGTTACCTTCAACGCACTGCGCAGGTCCCAGGCGCCGGAAAGACCGACTCATATAATCGATGAGGACTTGTTTTGGGAAGCACTGGAAAAGGATCAGCGGGAGCACGAACAGCCGAACCTCTCAATATGGACACAAGCAGCTGTTGGCCTTGCAACAGAACCCCGGGGAACTAAGCGGGGCACGCCAACTCCCGACTTACAGCTATTAAGCTTTTGGGCGTCAAGGCTACAAGCCCTCTGTGGTACCGCAACAACGGTAAGACAATGCCGCTACGTGTGAAACTCAACTGCGCCATGGCGAAAGCGAAGAGGTACACCCTCGAGCTATGCCAACGAGGGTGGAGGAAACAATGCACGTCCATTGAAGCCAAGACCGGACTTGCTCGACTTTGGAGCACCTTCTGGGAAATGCAAAATCGTGGTAAAACACGCAAGGTAGGCCAGTACTTGGCAGTCCGAATGGGCTTTCCGGAAGAAGAGCTAGCCATCCTAGAGGGAGCGCATTTCTTCCCAAGACCAACCGGCACAAGCAGCGGAGCGCCGGGAGTGGACACGGAGACTGAAAGACTGGAGGGCGGTACATGCAGTATCCGGCCGCTCGTTTTTGGATTCCCCCTTCACGCTCGGGGAGTTTCTCTCGATCATCCATGAGGCCAAGTCTGGAAGAGCCTTTGAACCAGATGAAATCTCAAATACAGTACTTCGAAACCTACCCGAAGACAGAAAACATGAGCTCCTGGGCTGTATAAACGATATCTTGGAGACAGGCCGGGTCCCAGAGGAGTGGAATGAGTCTTGAATTGTGCCCATACCAAAGCCCAGAGCGCCCACCACGGCGCTCGCCAACATGCGACCTGTATCAGTCATGTCAAACCTGTGCAAGTTAATAGAGCGGCTTGTCTTGGGCCGTATCCGGTGGTGCGTAGAGGCAAATAACGTCCTGAACCCGCGTCAGACAGGTTTCCGACCCCAACTCTCCACCCAGGACAGCCTTCTTCTGTTGCATCAGGACGTCCTAGAAAAGAAGCCCAAACTAGATTCGAAGGTGGTCGTCAGAGTCGACGTTAAGAAAGCGTTTGTTTCGGTGCCGCACCACTCGATTATCGAAGGAGCAAGTAAGAGCGGTCTCAGCAGTAGAGTCATCGCATTCATTCGTTCGTTCCTCGATGGACGTCAGTATAGAGCCAGAGCGGGCTCTACCTTGGGCCCACTAATGACGAACGGCATAGGAGTCCCGCAAGGGGCCGTCCTATCGCCGACGCTTTTCAACTTCACGATGGCAGGCCTTCCAGCCTTGGCCAAAATTGAGGGCATCGGCCTTATACCCCGATGATTTTACGCTTTTAAACTTCAGGCTGTCCACCTGGCGCCCAGGAACAAGCCCTACAGGAAGGCTTGGACACCCTGGCGGAGTATCTGAGAGAAGTCGGAACGGCTGCCTGTCCTGAAAAGACGTCTTACGTTGTGGTAGCGAATGCAAGTAAAAGGAAAAGGGCGTGAAGAATCTCTTCAAGCTCGACGGCCGTCCCATTCAGTGTCAACAAGCATCCGTGTTCTAGGACTCCATATCAACGAGGACGGCGGAGCGAGCGCCTGCCTTACACAAGTCACCAAAACGTGGAAACATACCCAGGGACTCATCAGAAGGGCCACCTCCAAATCGCGGAGACGAACTAAAGCACCCTCCGCATGGTAGTATATGCCCTCCCACGTCCAAGGCAATGTACGGTATAAGCTACCTACCTGCCACAGGAGCACAAAAGCGCAAACTAGAGGTGCTGAACAGAGAGGCAATGATGACAGTCGCCGGCATCCCCAGATTTTCTCCGATAGAGGAGCTCCACAAACACTCCCGGATCAATACTCTGGAAGATGGGACCGAAATCTATCGCATCGCCCAAGTCTAGAGACTCGAGCGAACCAGACCCGGAAGGGCCATCCTCCAGCTGTTTGGGCGCCGGCTAATGGGCCGTCCCGCGATCTCTAACCCTCCACTCCCGTGGGAGGACGAGGCAGTGGTGGACCATCACTACATGAAACAAGACGCGGGACAAAGATCAGAACGGCAGGTGAAACAGCGCAACCCTCCCTTCCCCCCCCCCCCCCCCCCCCTAAAAAAAAACGCGTTGAATCAGTGCAAGACGCCTGTCTCGGCTCCGAAACAGTACACGTCTACACCGACGCAACCGTCAGAAAAGACGGAGGCACAGCCATTGCACGGTTTTGTCTTAACAGAGATTCCAAGGCAAACTTGGATTTTCACGAAAAACATTCGACCAAGAAGCAGAGCTGCAAGCCATATTATTCGCCGTGGAAGACGAACCCCTGACCCCAGAGGGGTCCAAGCACTTACACGTGTACACGCACTTTAAAGAGGCCCTATCTACCTGCAGGAAGCGAGACTCCCCCAGCGAGACGGCGAAAAAAGAAATAAAATCTAGAGCAACGACCCTCAAATCCAGAGGAGTTAAAGTCACCATCTGCTGGGTGCCGGGCCATGCCGGGATTGAGGGGAACGAGAGAGCACACGAAGCCATGCGGGAGCTCATTCTTTCTCACTCCCCCCCCCCCTCCCCCCCTCCCCCCCCCCCCCCCCCCACACACACACACACACACGCCAAAGGCCGAAACGCGATTCTCGACTACCCTGAGCCCGTACTTATTCAAGAGGATTCTTGTGACGAAGAGCAGTCCGACAAGGACGAGGAGGCGACACTTGCCCGCCTCGAGCGACGGAGGGTCCTGCGTAATATGCTACCTGAAGACGATGACCCACTGCCAAACGGGTACGGCCGGTGGGCTGCAGTGCATCTTTGGAGACTCTGAACCGGAACGGCCGTCTCCCCGGCAGTCCGGGCTAAGTTCGAGAGATGTGCGCTCAAGACAGATGCAGAAAAAGAACACGCCGACGACAGGTCTTGCAGACGATGCGCCACTGAACAACAAGCCACAAGTGACCATTTCTTATGCGACTGTGTGGAGCTCAGCCGGACGCGGGAAAAAGCAATTCGAAAACTGCAACCTAAACTGAGCCCGGAATACCATCGGGACTGGATACACCCGAGGGGCGCACCGCAGCACCGCAAAGCCATTGAACTCGCTGCTTGACTTTGTCGTGACAGCAAACATCCAGGACTCCATCTGATCAGAGACATTTTTGGTACTCCCCTGCCTATCCACACCCCATTCCCTTCTCTCTCCGATGTCAGTGGACAATGGATTAGAGAGAGACATACGCGCTTCAATTTTTTTTCTTCTTTCATAAAACATGTTCAATCAATCAATCAAATATAGTTCACGATGCACTACACAATGATATGCTGCGTCATGTCTGCGCAATATACTGTGTCATACAACATCACGCGCTCTTCTCTTTAAAGTAGACTCGAGCGTAACGTTCATACCCGGCGTAACCGCGTAATACGGGAAAACGCTAGAAAAGTAAAGTAAGATCTCGGACGTAACTGCGTATTTTTTATACAGTGAAACGAAAGTAAGTGCACTTACCGGCGACATTCCAAGAGAAGCAAGCAATCTCCCATAAAAAAATCGAGATGATTAAATTGCTCATGCTACGATCACTTTTCCGACCTTGACAAAATTGATTCGTGTCTGAAAGATCTTGAGGTTGTGTAGGGAGTCTGATTGAAGCCTAGTTTGCAACCAAAGACCTTCTCAGCCTATAGCACCATGCGACGTTCTCAGCGTAATGAAAGCGTGAAACTGATTTTCGCCCGACGGAACAAACATCCGGAGACCCTAAAATTACACCTACGTGCGTTCAGTGCTTTCAACTTCCGCAGCGATATTTGCGGGTGTAACTATTTATGGACCGTTTGAGAGACTACTCGCGGGGGAAAATATCCTTCCTGACATTTATGCCCGCCACGACGAAGCCTGCAGAGTCTCGCGGCATTAGAGAGCGGATTTCCAGACAGCTGCTGCTGCGGAGACTATATGGGTGCGGTGTTGGCGTGATGCTTTATAGAAGTAGTATTAAACGATTCCTTTTCGTAGCGGTAGCTTTGAAGCTTGTCGTTGTAAAAGTAAGATAAGTAGTATAAAATAAAATCAGACCACACCAAAAGAAAAAACAAAAAAAAGTTTGCGCGCTGGATGGGACTTAAAAGACATTGTCTAATATCAGAGGTCAGTGGCAGCGCCCTCGCTTGCACATGCTAGTCTGTCTCGACTTTTGTAACAACCAGATGCCCTTTAATTGCGAGCCGAAAGGCGCCGTGGGTAGCGGAATCGGATTCTTTTTAACATTTGACTCTTTACTCGAGTAAGTTGGTTCTTTAAAATGACCAAGCAGAAAAAAAAAACAAAAAAACTCCCTACCTTCCAACACTTCTGTACAAAATCCCTGCGCGATGCGTTAAGCCACGGCCACACCGCTAATACAGAAATAATAATAATAAAAAAAGACAGTCATGCGACACTGTCTGATGCGTGTCTCTTCCTTGTACGACTGTCCCATCACATTGATCACACAAAAAATGCCGGCAAACAAGTTCCAAGAATACATAGGTAGGAATCAAACATGCTACGAGCATGTGTGTTGTGTGCCGGCAGACGAGACTGTTATCATGTCTGCAGCGGCCAGTGTGATGAATTAGCAGCGTGACTCCAGGCTTTACTGAAAACCGAGGTATGCGCGCGGTTTCTTCGAAGGGTCAACGGTACATTGGACTCATGGGGTAATAATAATGTTTGTGGGAACCACTTTAGGTGTCATGATCACTTAACAAAGTCCAGTGCTCCTAAAATCTTTGAACGTAGATTAAAAAAAGAAAAGAAAACTTAATTAAGAAAAAAACTAAAGCTATAATTTAATTTTAGAATTTGGAGCAATAAAACATTTTTTTTAAGGGCTTGCTACTTAATGGCAGCCAAGTCAATTCATTATCCCCCCCCCCCCCCCCCCCCAAAAAAAAAAAAAATCTGGTCGTAAAATAATTTTCTGAGGTTCTCCAGCTTCTCCATATTTTGAGGGGCGAAACACTTTTCTTGTTTAATTCTTTATTTGGGGTACACGTCACGTGGCTGCCATTACTACACGAGAGAGTATGAAAGAAATAGAAAAATGACGGCATGATGCTAGAGACAGGCCTTAAGAACAGAAAGTGGGCGGCGTACACAGGGTTTCAAATTTAAACAAGCGCTTTGTGAGAGCTATATTTGTTTTCTTTCCTGGAATTGCGTTTTTTGTTCTACCTACTACACTTAGAAGAACACCAAATATTATTAGATTTTAGTTTAAAGGCGGTGCATCACCACCGAACGTTCGCTCATATATTCTGCTCCCACACTTGACGCTGGATTGTTTCTCATAAAATTACTTTTTAAGAGTAGGGTCGATATTCTTGCTTTTGTATTTATTCTATAATAACACGCAGTTTTATGAGGAGCGTGAACACAATTGTTTTGTTTTTGTATACCTCGTCTCATCTTAAGTCGGAGTGGGGCCAAAACCTAGTTGCAATACACAACAGACTAAAAACGCAACGTCCCGACGATTTCTTCTCACTTGATTGGATTAGCCGGCGGTAACACACGCTCAGAAGCGCGTAGAATGCCGTGATCTAGGTGCTTTCTCGAGCAGTTTCATTGTCCTCATTGGCTCGTAGCCTTGGCGCTCGGACTTCGAGTGAAGCGGTGTAAAGCCGTCATGACTCCTTTGCTTGCTGTAGTCGGAGGGCGGGTGGAAAAGGGGGGGGGGGGGGGAGGGCAGTTTTAACATTCTACTCGATATGTTAATTTACTTTTTCTTCATTTGCTGTCACTTCATTCGGTGGGCGCACTACGTAAGTCGCAGTGATTAGTCCATTGCGTGCTTTGTGGAGCATTAGATGAGCAGCCACGTGCTCCTCCAGTGTGTCCCTCCACAGAGGAGGATAACCAATCAGGAACGACATAGGGGTACATTGCTCTAAGTGGAATACGCTGCTACACCCTAAAAAACGCTCGCGCGTGCACTTTCCCGCACGACACTCGGAGAGCCAATCACGGCGACTTACGAAAGCAGCTCAGCGAATGGCGATGCCGAAACATATGTTTAGACCAAAAAACGCAGTCTGAGTTGTGACAATAAGCAATGCAAAACATCAAGCTTGCATTGCTTAATGTCACAACTCAGACTGCGTTTTTTGGTCTAAACATATGTTTCGCCATCGTCATTCGTGAGCTGCCTTCGTAAGTTGCTGTGATTGGCTCTCCAAGTGTTGTTCGGGAAAGCGGATGCACGGGCTTTTTTTTAGAGTGTACATTGATGAACTGTAATATTTTGGAAGACATTTTTGATTTTTTTTTCTGCGTACAAATTGCACACATATCCTATTTTGTATTCATGATTTATCGACAACAGTGAAACATTTCTGAAGAAGGGGAGGCTTCGTAGAATATATATATAAAAATGAAACTCTGATTTTCATTTTTTTTATATACATGATTTATTCTCTTGTTTTATTTACTTGTGCACTTTCATGCGGAATCCATTTTCTTGGTGGATTGGGAGTGGTTTTGGAGCGCTTGTTTTGTTGGCATCTTCTTGGGTACGCAAACTCGTCCTCATGGCTACCGCAATAAAGGCGCTTGCAAGCATGGCGTCCCGACTGGCGCCCTATGCTGCCTACGCATGCGCTCAAGCACGTCCAGCATGCGCTTGAAGGTGGCTTTGGCAGGCTTGCAATTTCACGTGCTTCCTCACACGAGCAGGAACATGGCGGTGCCCAGAGGCAGAGTTCGCAATCGCCTTTTCGCCGCATTCGGTGGGCGTTAATACCACTAGGCCGGAAAAGTATTTGGCTACCGAGCAGACATCCGTTAGTGTGTTTATTTGTTCTCCACCAATGTACAGCGATCGGGTAAGAAGATTTCCTCTTGGAAAACTATCTGTAATACGTTTGTAGGAACCGGCTCGCATTTTAGGAAGTAGTAGAAATAATACAATAATAAAAAATAATGGAAAGAAGAGGAAAACCGGAAGCGCGCATGTTTTCACCAGTAGCAGGCAGTAGTGAGTTTGTTTGCAAACAAACATCGGTGGATCGGTGGATATAGAGCATTTGGATAGCTCCCAATCCACCAAGGAAATTTTGCATCACAGACACACTAACACGCGCACGCACACACGCACGCGCGCACGCACGCACACCCACACCCACCCACCCACACCCACCCACACACACACACACACACACACACACACACACACACGTAATATTTTGTGATTCGCAAACTGCCTTCCAAGGAATCGTAGGGAAAACATAGTTTTGCCTTTAGAAAGATTTGGCAATAATATATGGTCGTTTGAATTGTTGTTATGCTGGTGGTTCGATCGAAGACAACGAGGGAGTATGAAGCGTTATGTAAGGCTTCTGTGCAGCTTCCGTCTACGGAATGAGTGAGTAAAGACCGTGGGTTCATTGTTCCGTGGAGTTTTGTATTTTTCTCTTTGTGTTTGGGTGAATGTATCGGAGCATTGCTTCAGAGCTTCTTCCGTGGCGCACAATCTTTCGCAGTCCGCAGCGCCCTGTTGACTGAGGAGATTCACGTAAGGTTTTATGAACACCTCCATGAAGTGCGACACTCGAATATAGAGAAGAACTCCATCTTTCTTAGTACGTTCATTATAAACGGCGATGACGTATATCGAATCTACAGTTCATTGACGATTGAGCTCGTACATCACAGGACCACCGCTATCTCCCTGAAAAGAAGATAAAGAGTATAGGTGAAAAGTTTGTTACGAATCGTTTAAAGACAAGTGGTGACGCTCTGCTCTTGCACTTGTGCCTGTATGCATAGTGCACGCGCTGTACACTAGGGACACCGAACAATGGTTTTCCTTCCATCATTCGAACAACACAGAAGGGTGACATGTATCATTCTTCAATAGTCATGTAATATTATAAATACAGTACATGTCACGCATCCATGTCATGTTGCCACGTGGCACGTACCATGTAGTAACAAAAGATGCGGACGCGTTTCTGCCAGTGAGGCTGCTTGATCATTGGGGTACGGTAGCACCGCGTGCCCTTTTTGTGTGCGGGGTTCCGAGTGCATCGCGGGTCGGTATACAGGCAGGAACACCTGAAGCCTTGAAACATAATCAACAAAATTATAACGCGGTACAATGAGCGTTATAAGTTCCCAACATTAGCAGCGAGCCTTCAGCCTCGTTCACCCAGCTAATACATCTTAATCAAAATAGTCTGCGAAAATTGTCAGATGTGTGACGCTTCTGTCAGACATTGGTCGTACAAAAACAGTCTGCAGACATGTTCTAAGCATACATATGTATGAAGCAAACATGACTCGAACAGGCTTCTAAGGTGCTTAAGGCGTGTTGTCAGTTAGTCCTGCTATCATGTGGCGAACACCGCCCCTCTTGGGCAGCGTGATTGAACCGTACAGGGTATGACCGTGGATTTAGAGACGTTCAGAACGACACGGAACCGTACAGGGTGTCCGCTTTTTTCCATGTGTTTCTACTTAAAGCGTTCATTTCGAAAAGAAACAGGCACTGCGAGACCCCAAGAAGTCAAAGGTATTTGAACTCATTTATTAGCCCAAACCAACATTCACTCATTTCTCGTAGTTTGACATTTGGGAACGGGAGGAATGTGTCAGTCAATTTCCAACGCAGCGATGATTGCTTTGCGTTCTTAGCTCGTAATTATTTACCTATATGCGCTAAATATCATACATGACCTCGGGATACTGTCAAACTTATTAACGTTTTGCATTTCACGTATAATTACCATTTCTTTAATTATGAAGAGTGGAGAAACTGCAGGACAGGACAACATGAATCTCGCATTAACGTATTATTACTTTTATTGAAAAATGTTAATAGCTTTTTTAAAGTTTCGGGATTATTACGGGAAGTGGTAATACGTCGTTATACTCAAACTTTCTGGATTGTATTGTATTGTACTATATATTAAAAACAATTGCACGCACCCACAGGGGATGAAGTAGTGTTTTGAAGACGGTCGCGTTATTCCAAGCTCGCTGCTTGGATTATTTT